ACTCACTCGCTTAGTTAAACAATAGAAGTCTTTCTGGAGGAGTGCAAAATCAAGAAAAACTGCAGCCATTTCCAGTTTACTGTTTTCAAAGCATCAGAACAGCAAAAATCTGTTGATAATACAGTTGTTAAGATACCACAAAAAAATGTAATTATTAAGTGACATTTCTGAATTTCATATCAGAATATTGCATTCATTGCGTTGTTTCAAAACATTTAAGCACCTTGGCCATTGACATTTAAATGCATTCCATTTAAATCAATTTTGAATGATAGAGTTGAAGAATGACCAAACTACAAATTTCTTTTTCTTTCTGCTAATAAGATCTCAGTCCCTGAGAATGATGATTGTTTTTTAAAATTTGTCAAGATTAGATGAATTCTTATCAGCCCTAGCCAAAGTTCTTTTCATGGAGTAATTAGAAAGTAAGACTAGGTGGGGTTGGAGGACTGTCAGCATTGCATACCCTTTCTGTTCACATCGCATCGTAGTCATATAATGACAACCCCTCTGGTGGGAGCCTCTGTAATGCTGACATTAAAACCTGTTGTTTAAAAGCATTCTAATGAGATTTTACATGCTTTTAAATGGCATTAACTGCCATTATGAGTAATAGCTCAGCCAACTAAACAGTGTGGATACATGGTATTAGGGCATCACACTTGAATTCTCATGTTTTCTTGTATTTTTCAAGGAAAAATACTTTTAAATAATGCAAAAGCAATTCAGTTCCTTCCTCTTGAAAACCTTTCTCACACGAGTCAAAACCCACTGTGATTTAGTGAAAAACATAGCATCAATCCCCAACAATCTCAAACAAAATCTCACTCTTTATTCAGTTTTTGGGGAGAAAGCTTTGCTATTACTGATCAGAAAGGGTTATAACCAATAAACATCTATATAATTTTGGATTTGTCTCTGGAATCTGCTTGTCTATTCTTGCCCCTACAGTCTCAAAAGCTCTGAATTATAGCCGATTTTCTCTCGATAAAGATAGTTACATAAAGATCTCTGCAGGGACCATGAATTCTACTCCCAGTGCACTGCAGCCTGGGGAGAAGGGCGCTTTTTTTAGTGTAAAACTAGGCATGTTCAAATAGGAGAAGTAACCTAGCTTAGTTGCAAACCTGGATGTCCATGTGACAAAATGCCTTCTCTAAACTACTAGAGCCTGCTCAATACTCTCTGCTCTCATTGTGTCATGCTTAATCGATGGCCAGGTTAATGGTTCATTGAGAACTTCACCCTGAGAAAAGGTATAGCTGTAATAAACCCTACCCATGGCACTCCACATGGTGCCTCCTTTGTACCTCCAGTCTCCTGTGGTTGGTTGCATAGTGGTTTCATACCAGCACCTTCCAGAGGCAGATCCTCCTCTGGGAGAAGAGGTCTCTAGCCTTGTAGCAAAAGGGAATCCTTTTTTATTTTCACACACTACTCATGGGATGCAAGTTTAAAGCTTCACTGATTGCAGATGAGGTGGCACCTCAGGCCCAATCCGTGTCTTTTGAAAAATTATGTTGTCTTGCAGTGTACTGAAGGTACCCTATTCCTACAGAAGTCAATAGAGGTTGATAGCGTTCAGGAGCTACCTTTGTAACATACTAGCCCAACTTCTATTGACCACCTGAGAGGTAAGCGCTCAGGAGATGTGTTGTTCCTCAATGTTCTCTGGAATTTTTGAACACAGTTTTGTTTGACCTTGTTGGTACTACAGCAGCTTAAATACACCTCTTTTAAATAAAGCATTTTTCTTAGTGTTAGGCACAAAATACTCTATAACGGAAAATTCTCAGTGATGCAATATGAGATAAATTGAGACCCAAGCTATCAAGTGCAAATTCCTGAGAAACTCCATTTACTACTTGTAAATCTGTAAATCACTAAGTCTGATCTGTCAGAAGTAATGGGGAGCTATGCATGATAAGAGCAGGGGTCAAGGCAGAACAGAATAACTATGCAGCAACAGCCTTGAGTTCTACAATTAGCAAAGGATCTCAGTAAAATGCTATCCATTGACAGACTCAGTTGAAGAAAATATATGAGAGAGTTCAGAGCTCAGGGTTGCTAATTCTTGATTGGCAGGAAGCATTTTAAAACAGGGTCAGAATCAAAATAATGGGTTTCAGCCTAGCTTGAAATTAATGCATTGTTTGTAGAAAGGTTTTCTTGATACCACAGGAAGGTCATTTCTTCCATGTGTTATACCTTAGAGAAACTTTCGAATTATGTCAACCCAATCTCTATAATTGGTTGCTAGACCGAAGCGTAATGTCAAGCAAACTCAGTGCCGTACACTCAGCAACTCCCTGTCAATAACAAATTAAGCTCACAAAGCACACCTTAACCTTCCTCCCAATTTCCTTCCCCTTAGCATCTTGGAGTCAGTTTTCCATCCATGTTATCTTTTCCATGTAATCATTATCTCCTTCCCTTCCAGAGAATGAATCTCTTGAAAATCTCCCTTTTTCTTGAGCTCAAGACTGAGTTTCTCACAGATCGTCTTGAATCTGGTGATGCTATTCTAGAATCTATTATTTTTTATGTAGAGCACATCTGAACTTCTTTTGTCTGTATAAATTTAGACTTGTTCTGAATGCAAAGGAAACCATTGACGTCACAAAGATATTCAGTGAGGTTTGTAAAAAAAAAAAAGTTACTTGGCTGTCATCCACCACAGTGTGAAGGGACCAGTTGTGGCTGTAGCACGAGACACGTAAATCAGCAGAGACTTTTATAGTAGCTCATATTCTATTGGTGCTGCAGGCCTGCGTACTCGCTTGTCTCACTGTTTCTCATGCAGTTTCTTGGAAAGGGTGTGGACATCAAGGCTTGCACCCTATTTTGGGCGCCCATTTACCCTACGGTCATCCTGCTCATTGCAAGTTGAACGTGTAAATGTCAAAATCTCTTTGTAGCATGCAGGAGCTAACTTGTATTTTCACCTCCTCAACACCCTATTATCCAACCACTACATCTAACCACTCAGCACTCTATTCTCTGCCATTTTTACCTACAAACTAATTACAAATCACAGCCACTATCCGTATTTTACTATTTGCAGTTACTGGCAGGTATGTCCTAGCTAGTTCCTTAATTAAATCTGTGATTTACATAGTCATTAGCCTTGTGTTGGCGTTGTCTCAGAGGCTTCCACAATAGTAATAACTAACCACTAATCTGTGAAAATTGCTGAGTTAAAATACACCCAGGTTAATAACTGGAATTAGTCTTCATTTACTGTTGTAAATGTAAATGTTTGTGAAGAGGAGGGAAATTTGATTCACATATGCCAGGTTGTGTGTTTCTACTACTGAGTTTTCCTGGGAATGTCCCTGCCATTGTCTTGCAAATCTTTGTAGTTGCGCCGCTTTAAATCTGGATTGCTTCAAATGACTTCACTGGTCTTGCTCCAGTGAACGAAGACAGATTTTTGATTCTCTGAGTGAAATTCTGCACTCTTTACTCGAGCAAAACTCCAGTTAATCCTGAGGAGTTACAGACTGTAAAGATGCAAAAATGCTCAAAGGAGGAAGAAAAGGAAAAGAACCCTTTAACTGGCTGTTAATTGTTGTTTGAAATAGCCTTTTACATTGCTGAACCATTATCAGAAAGATGGCACTTGTAAACAGACAGGCAATGGATGCCCCGGTTTAATAAATGCTGTATTTTGTTTTATTTGCTTTAAAAGGAGGGATATTGGGGTTATGTCGGTTACAGAGCATCTGTCCATTAGTAAATACTCATTATTTTTAATGTAGGTCTCTGTCTAAAATGTATTTACCTTGGAGAGAGCATTTTTGCGGTAGCTTCCCTCTCTCCTCCCCCTCTTTCTCAAACAAACACAAGTAAGCTTGCTCCCCAGGCAAAGCCTCCCTGCCCGTCCAGGCCTACCTTTGGTGTTGCCCACTCCTGAGAAGAGTTAAAGGTATATATTGCTGATTTTAGTATCCCTTTACACCTAGTTTGTTATTGTTTTGAAGAGTGGCACTAGGACCTTCGCTACTTCTGCAAACGATGAGCCTATGGCATTAAGCATGGATGTGAAAGCCTCATGTGTCTTGAATACTCAGTGGATCTAATTAACAGGTAGAATCGCACCCTGGGTGCTTGAAAAATTGCCAGACACCATAGAAACGAGTCCTTAAGTCCCCGCACCATCTGCACTTTCTTTTCATTGTGGAAGTCTCATTGAAACATGTTTTTCGACCATTCTAAATTCATTTGTGCGTTA